GGTGGCTTCCTCCTAATTGCACTGGGCCTGGGAGGGGGTTGACAAGGGTATGCAAAAACACCATGAATCTTCCTACTGCTTTTAATTTTGCTTTAAAAAAAAAAAAAGATTTTATTTATTTTTACTGTGCACCCCTAGCCAAGGACCTGGCCTGAAACCCAGGCACGTGCCCTGACCAGGAATCAAACTGGCAACATTTTCATTTGTGGGACAACACTCAACCAACTGAGCCACACCAGTCAGGGTGTAGTTTTGCTTTTTCTTAATCAGGCATTTGCTTGGTTGTAGCAGCCCCTTGACTGGTTTCTAGAGCTCCTACACCACTTTTTGTAGTCAGTCTGTTGTCTTCTTGATGTTTCCATGGGACCAGAAGGATCTGGAGCTCCTGACATCACTGTCAGATAGCTCTAAAAGTTTTATTAAAAAAAAGAACTTTCACATTTAGGTCTATGGTATCCAATTCGCATTAGATTTTGTACGATTACCTGGTTTTTAATTGTAACTCCACTATGTTATTGCTATGTGGCATTGGGAAAATAATCTCTCTGTACCTCATTTTCTTCATCATAGTACCTACCTCACAGAGTTATTGTGAGGCATTTGCATATATGTATATATGTAAAAGACTCAGAAAAGTGACTGGAAAATAGTATACCCTTAATAAATGCTACTTGCCATACATATTTTTATATCCTTTTAATTTAGTGTCTTGGAAGCCTAGACAGGACTGACATAATTAAGTCTAAGAAAAAGGCCCAAATCTACCACTCAGCATGACCCTGATGGCTGGGTGGGATACTGAGAAAGGCCTAGTCCAGTTTGAACAACGGGTTCTATTGCGCTAAATAAATGTGAACTTCCTTTCTTTTTCCTTTCTTTATTTGTTCCAGTGTGAATACGAAGTGTTCCATGTAAATAGTTTTATCAATCTGGTTATTAGCTCAATTTATACAAACTTCTAATATCTTTCTTGTTTATTTGTTTCTTGGGGGAACAGGAAAAAAAATTGTTTTGTTTAAAATTTCCTAGAACATAAAAGACCTCTGTACTCAGCTTCCCTAATCATTTTGATTGAAACATGGACCAGGTTTTGGGATTAAATTTTGGAAGGCCGGAGGCTGTAGATGAGTTCAGAGGAAAGTTGATTTATTTCAATTGATCATTGTGTGTGTGTGTGTGCGTGCATATGTATTTAAAAATTTCCTGGAGTATTTTTTTTTAATTTTTAATTTTTAATTTTTTAAATTTTATTTTAATTTATTTTTTCAAATACATTTGTCTCTGCCTCCTGGAGTATTTTTAAAATCCAGAAATAAATATAACAAGAACATAATCATCCTTGTACACATCAGCTAGATTGTACAAATTTTAACTTTTTGCTATATTTGGCTCAACTCATTCTTCCCCAGAAGTAAACACTACTGTGAAGTTAATGTGTATTTTTTCCAGGTTTATATTCTTTTGTCAGATATGTATATATTAAAATAACATATAATATTTTGTTCTTAAATTTAATATATAATAATGCATGTTTCATCTTTTCAATTTGCTTTTTCACTTATCATTTTCAAAGATTTATTCATTACAATACATAAATTATTGTAGATCTCACTTTTTTTCTCTTTTTTACTGAATTATACTTGGCATACTATATTATACAAGGTGGGGCAAAAATAGGTTTAAGGTTGTGAGTACATGAAAAGGTTTATTCTTGTATTAGTATTTATTAATTATTGTATCATTTTCCATATGAACATCTGTAAACCTAGTTTTCCCCCATCCTGTATTAGTTTCAGGTATACATTAAAGTGATTTGATGTTTTATGCACTGGAAACATTAAGTCTAGTTTATTACAATGTTATTGACTATATTCCCTATGCTGTGCATTACATCTCTGTGACTTTTTTTTTTTTAACTTTTAAAAATAGACTCTTGGGCTTTCTTTTATTTCTGGAGGATTACATGAAATGTGAACCACACAGTAAAGTGTCCCAGCCAGGCCCCTCCGTGGGGTGCCAGCTGCTGTTCCCTGCCCCGCAGTGGGGACTTTTCCATGCCCCCTGCCGCCTGGCCCCTTCTCTGGCGATCTTTCCGTCCATCCGTGCAAGCTGGCAGAAGCCCTGCTTGGAGGAGGAAGTCATAATGAAGAGGACGATGAAGGCATTGCGGCAGCTCGTGGTTTTCTGCTGCAGTGGCCTGCCAACCTGCAGCGAGGAGGCCTGGCCAGGGGCTGCCGCCACCTTAGTCCACCACGCTCGATGGGGTCCGAACCGTGCCAACCACTCTTCTGTGGCCAGGCGGGGCGCTGCACCATGTCTCTGCTGTGGAAGGAGAAAATGGGGCCCTGGGCTTCAGCTGGCCCTCAGATCCCAAGAGCAGGGCCCTGAAGTTGACGATGGGCACGGTGGCGAGGTCCACATCAAGCACGATGCTGCTGAGGTCCTGCAGGTGGGACGACAGGAAGGCGCGCAGGGCGCCCTCTAGAGCCCGTGGCCCTCACTTGCTGGTAGCCCTGGAAGTGGGTGTCACGGAAGCCGCGCAGGCCACCTGGCTGCCACCAGTTGAGCGCACCCAAGTGCAGCCCTGGCTGGAAGTCCCAGGGAGTGGCACAGGAGCGCAGGAGGAGGTGGGGCTGGCCAGGGTGCATGTAGCAGCAGTTGTGCAGTACTCCAACATAGGGCTGGGGGTCCCAGGCATGGAGGCCTCCCCAGGAGCGGTCTGCCCACCAGGGCTGTGCTGTAGAGGGGGCTACTCCCAGCTGGGGTGCTGGTTACACTCGTGCAGCTGGGCAGTGCTGCAAATCGTGATATTTATTTTATAACCTGAAGTTTGTACCTGGTAATTCTGTTCACCTGTTTCATCACTCCTCCCCTCCTCCCCTTTGGCAAGTGCTAGTTTGTTCTCTGTATTTATGAGTCTATTTCTTTTTTGTTTCGTTTGTGAATTTGTCTAGTTTTTTAGTTCCACGTAGAAGCTGATTCTTGGAAGAATGGGAACAGAGGCTGGAGTGGAGTTTTGAATGAACTGAATAATGCTGCTCATTCTTTGTATTTGGTGCATAGCACAGTGCCTGACACATCGTAGATGCATAATAAATATTAATCGACAGTTAAAGGAATCAAATATACTTAGTGTCTACCAGGGAAAATGCAAAAAAGGCATACAAGATACGACCCCAGCCCTTGGGGGCCCTTAGTATAGCTGGGCAGGTAATACACTCTCAGGGAGGAATTATATAAGAGCACAGGAAGATCCACAGTCCATATGCTTGTGACGCTAGGAAGGAAGGGTCAGGATTCAAAGAGAGAAATCCCTGGGGTTTGGATGTGGCAACTAACAGGGGATGTGGGAGGAGGGAATAACTTAAGGTGGTCCTGGAAGGACAGGGCAGGCTTTAGGGAGGAGCTGAATGGGGAGGAGTGTGCGGAATGAGCGTGGTGTCCTTCAAGGGTGGTGTGTGGACTGGACAAGCAGAGATGGGGAGGAGGGTTTTGATGGGTGATGGGGAGGTGAAGATAAAGAGCAGAAAGTCCATGGGCCAAGAGCATCTTTAGAAAGTCAAGATTCTGCTCTTGCAGGTTAAAAATGAGTAGAAAATAATTCAATCTCTTCACCTAGACTCTGTATTGGGCCAAAATGTGAGGCCCCTGGCTCAGGCATGCAAGGGTTTGTGTGCGCTGTGACTCTGTGTGGCCATTATGTGGTTTCCCATTGCTGTGGTTTGGGTTTGTCCCTTTAGGAGCTTCTAGTTGTAGATGACAGACATTAGGGTGTGTTGAAACCTTTCGGTTTGGCTTGTTCCTATTATTCAGAAGGGGGTCATTTTCTCCAAGCAAAAGGCTGATTCTAGCCTTCTCCACCCTTGATTGCTTCCTTATCCCTCCATACACAGTAGTTTCCCCCTCCCCCTGCTACTTATCCAGGGGCTTCACTTTCCACGGTTTCAGTTACCTGTCCAAAAACATTAAATAGGAAAGTTCCAGAGACAAACAAATTATAAGTTTCGACTGGGTGCCGTTCAGAGCCGTGTGATGAAATCTTGCTCTGTCCTGCTCTGTCCCATCTGGGACGGGAATCACCCCTTTGTCCAGTGCCTCCACCTTGTACACCCTACCTGCCCTCTAATCACTTAGCAGCTGCCTGACTTATCAGATTGACTGTCATGGTATCGCAGTGCCTGCGCTCAAGCAGCCCTTATTTCACTTACTCCTGGCCCCAGAGCGATGAGCAGTGATGCTGGCAAGTCAGATATGCCAACGGGGAGACCTAAAGTGCTTCATTTAAATGAAGAGTTGGAGGTGTTTTACTTAAAAAAGAAAGACAAAAAGTTGCATGCTAAGATCTGCGGTAAGAACAAACCTTCTAGCCATAGAATTGTGTAGAAGGAAACATAAATTTGTGCTAGTTTTGCTGTCATACTTCAAACTGTAAAAGTTATGGCCACCGTGCATGGTAAGTGCTTAGTGAGATGGGAAAGGCGTTGAATTTGTGAATGGAAGATATGAACAGATATCACAATCACATGACTGTTATTCCAGTATATTTGCATAAGTGTTCTATTTTATTATTAATTATTTTGTCAATCTCTTACTGTGCCTAACTTATAAACTAAACTTTACCATAGGTGTGTATGTGAAGGAAAAAAAACATAGTATAGGTAGGGTATGGTACCATCTGAGGTCGCAGGCAGCCACTGGGGGTCTTGTGTGTATCTCTTCCCAGGAAGGAGACAACAGCACCCTGCCTCTGCTGTTCCTCCCACAAGGGCTGGCAGGGCAGAGAAGCAGAGAAAGGGGTGATTTTCTTTTGGACTTATTAGCCGGGTTCTTTGTCTGACATTTTGGGGGCCTGCATGTGGGCCAGGAGGCCTAACGATGACCTGTCTCCTGAGCTTCTGCCCCCAGCTCCCACCTCCCTGCCTGCTGCCTGCTAAATTCCCTCGGTACCTTCTCTCTGGGTTAGAAGGGATTCTGGGTGTTGGCCAAGGTCTTCTCTGTCCTCAGGCTTCCCTGTCCACGGCAGCCTGGATGTTCCTGGCTGCCCGGAGGGCGGTCTTGATGGCGGTGTCTATCCAACCATGGGGCATGCTGGTGTGCTCGCCAGCAAAGTAGATGCGGCCCTCTGGCTGGGAGAGCCCCTGCTCAAAGTCTTCATATTGGTAGGGCATGAAATCAGTGAAGGCGCCCATGATGAAGGGATCCAGAGACCACTGCTTGAGCACAGAGGAGGGGCACATGCGCCGCAGCTCCTCCTTGGGTATCTCATGCACCGCCGCCAGGTCCTCCAGGACGATGTCCAGCACCTGGTCCTGCTTCATGGATATGAAGAAGAGAGAATCACTTTCCACGGTGTAGGAGGCCAGCAGGACGCCCTTGCCATTAGGAAAGTTGTGGCTGGGGTAAACGATGAAGCGCGAGGGCCGGTCGGTGATGGAGGACCCGCCCTGGATGCCATCCCGCTCCCAGAAGGACTCATTGCAGGCCAGAATCAGCTTGGTAGCGCCGGCGTAATGCACTGAGCGGAGCGCGTCTGCCTTTTCTAGGGAGAGCGGTGGCGCGTACGTGATGAGGAGCGAGGGCTTGGCTGCAGTGCAGATGATGACAAAATCCGCGGTAAGGTTGTGCAGTGCTGAGTTGGACTCGCCCACACGGTAGGAAATGTGGACCTCAGACCCATTCCTCTCTACCCTCTCCACCCTGGAGCGCAGATGGATGGTACCAGGCTTCAGGCTCGCACCGAGGGCTTTGGGAAGCTGGTCGAAGCCACCCGTGATCTCGGAAAAGCTGCAAGGGGTAAAGAGAGCAGAGTAGGTGAGGGTGGCAGGCATGAGGCCTCGTTGCCCGACTGTCAGCAACCGTCCTGGTCCAAAAGGGGAGGAAACTAGCTTCATATACATACTTCGTAAACATCATCTTGACTCTTCTCTGCGAGGGAAAGATTATCCTTGAATTTGATAGTTTGGAAGACTGACACCCAGGGAAAAAGAAATTTCCCAAGAAGATAGCTTGTGGGTGCAGCCTCCATGCAATTCTGCCTCCCAGAAGGAGTTTTTACAGACCTGGGTCTGGGTTCTGGGTCTGGATTCTGGCTCCAGCCCTTGGTCCCGTTGTGGGAATCTGGCTGTTAACATAATTTCTCGTAACCTCAGAAGCCTCACTGGTAAAATGACTCTGAGTAATGGTACCTATCTTCCAGGTGATTGTAAAATCAAATGTGATAACTTTTGGAAAGTGCTTAGGACAGTGCCTGGCACATAGTAACTGCTCAATAATCAAAGTTCCCTTTCCCTGCTCTAAGTGTTGGAGGAGAGGTCAGACTTGAGTCCTGATCCATGTCAGCCTTACTCGTCATTTTGGGAGAAGATTATCTCAGATTTCAGGGACTCTAGGAACGATTTAGGGATTTCAATGCCCTCGTTCATCAAATCCCTGATCATCTTCACTGCTCCTGGGCTCAGCTTTGCTTCTTTCCGCAGGTAAACCTGTGGGGAGGTAGGAGGGTCAGATGGAGGGCCCAATATGTAGGAAGGGGCTTCAGCAGGGGGCTGGGTCAGGCAAGGGGTGGGACTGGACTCCAGGAAGGGAATGCTTTGGCAGGGGGAATAGAGGGTCCTGGTAGGCAGAGGACAACCCCGGGAGCTAAGTTGAGCGCAAACTCCCCTCCACCTCTCTCTGGGGATTTCTTAGCTTCACTCACCTTGGAGGAGTAAGAATCATAAAGGGAAAACAGGTAGCTGCAGTTGATATTTTTCTGATTTTTTATGACCTGCTTAAGGGGAGAAAGGAGAAACAGCTGTGGTTTAAAGCCAAATGTCCAGAGAAGCAAGACTCCTGGGTTCTCAAGGATGTCCCTTTGAAGAGGGTGGGGGCAAGGAGGTGGGTGGATGGAAGGACCTGAGGAAGGATGCTTCCAGAAGCTCCAAAATGCCTCTCTTTCCCCACAGATCCCTCCTTTGTTTAAAGATCTTTGGAGACTATGACTTATGGTGAAGACAATCACTGCGATCTAGCAGGACTGATTCATTACCAAGGATTCCCTTTCCTTCCACTGCCACTGACCAAGCAATGACCATGGACCACCCAGGGACAGATGATATGAGGCTGGGCACTAGGATTGGGGTGGCAACATCCTTAGAGGGTTTTAGAATGAAGGTCAACCAATCACAAGGGTATTGGAGTCAGGACACCTGGGCCCATCCACTAACTTGCCAGGCGACTTCAGGCCAGACCCTTTTCTTTCCCAAGTATGGGAGGAGCGAGGCAGAGTCACCTGGGCAATGGACTGTTGGTAGAGCTCCCCAGCGTTCTTGCCCTTCTCCATGGGGTTCACAGAATAGCCCAGGAGCTCTGGGTTGGCCTGGACCTCCCTGGCGCGATAGCGTCGTCCGTTGATGAGGTACCAGGTGTTGCCATTGTAGTAGATGAACTTGTTCAACTTCAGGCCCAGCTTCTCCACATAGGTGTGGAAAAACCTGAAGCAAAGACAGGCATGACATGACCCTGTTCCTGCTGGCCTCACAATAGGAATCATTTCCAGGAAAGTCAGTGTCTTTATGTGCCCAGAGAACTCAGACTAACTGCTTCCTCATCTCCAACTCTGTGTCTATTTGCTGTGGTATTAGTTTGTTTTTTTCTGTTTTTGCCCTGAGTCAGGTGGGGAGTAGGATGTTCACCCACCACAGAATGAATGCCCGTTAGGAAATTCAGGGCATATGGATTCAATAATAGAGACAGAGGCCTTTGGTTTCAGACATTATTTGAAATGCTATTTTCCATTCTAGGTAAGTTGAAGGCTATACCTAAAGACTTAATTTGGGCTGTTTCAATGGGATTTCATTTTAGCTTTTGGTGGTGTCTGGAGGGAAATCTCAGGTTCAGTTTGTATTTGAAAAAGAAGTCATGCCCTGGCTTGGTATCTTAGTGCATTAGAGGGTCATCCTGACTTGCAAGGTTGTGGGTTTGATCCCCAGCAAGGACACGTACAAGAAACAACCTATGAAAGCATAACTAAGTGGAGCAACAGATCGATGCCTCTCTCTCTCTCCCCCGCTTCTCTTCATCCCTCCCTCCCTCCCTCCCTTTGTCTCTCTAAAATTAATTTTAAAAAAACAACAAGTTATGTTTTTGGAGGTATGTGGGATACTAGGCAAGGGATCTTTTTTGTCTTGGAGGCCTCAGAACCAGGAGTCAGTTATGGTTCAGAAATCAAGCACCTGCTTTTGTGCTGGGCACATTCTTGATTTTGAGGAGCAGTTTTGTCATTTTCTCTTGGGAAAATCTTGGGTGAGTCACTTCGGTGAGTCCCCGGGCCCATATCTCTGAGACCAGTGTCTTGATTTGTAAATGTGAAACATAAAAGCATCAAACTGCAAGGTTGTGAGCATCAAATGAAATGATGCACAGATAGTGCTTAGCACAGAGTAAATGCTCAACACATGGCAGCTATTATCATGTGATAGCTTACTGTGGTATAACTGATGTATAAGAAGCTGCCCATATTGGAAGCACACAATTTGATGAATTAATGGTAACTATATGCACTCTTAGTTTGGGATCTTCTGCTTTCTCTATGTCCCTGGGCGCTGAGTCTCGGCTGTCTCTGCCAAGGGGGAGACCAGTGTTTGTCCTGACTTGCAGGATCGAATCAGACAGGACAGTGAATCTGAAAGGGCTCTGACTCAATGACAGCAGAGCCCACACTACCTCCTCCTAATCCGTCCTACTTTCCCTCCTCCACCCCTTTCCCAAGACTTACCTTTGGGACTTCAGGACTCTCATGGGCCCCAGGTCGCAGTACCAGCCCTCCTCCTCGTTCCTGAACGTGACCACTCGACCCCCGATATGGTCGTTGGCTTCCAGGATGGAAACCTGGGGTCCAGAGAAGCCGCGGTCATTCCCAGGGTCATTCTCTCCCTTCTCCCACTCTGCATTCCACACCACCCAGGCCCAGGCTCCAGTCTGGAACCCCAGCAGCGGGTCCCTGAGTGTGCAGGGTAGCCAGAGTGCGGGGATGGGGAGTCCCAGGAGGGTCCTGAGTGATGTGAGTGAGGCAGAAGAGCGCCACGTGGCAGGGGTCAGAGTATCTCTTGATCTTTACTTGTTAGCGCACCCCTTCTCTACTTTGGTTTCCATGGGGGACACAGGTTGCCACTAAAGTGAAGGCTCAGGGCAAGCCAGAGTTCTGAGAACAGTAGATAAGGGCCAAGAGACCCCATAGATTGCATACAGTTGTTCTCTTTTTCTTCTCCTGCCCAAGAAGGCAAACCCAGAGGCAAATGACTGAGGCCCCTCCAAAGCCTGCTTACATGGTGGCCAGCGTCCTGCAGGGCCTTGGCAGCTACCAGACCTGCTATGCCAGCTCCCACTATCACCACGCGCTTGGGCAGTGGGGACGTGTGGAGGCCCTCCTGGGCCGTGACAAGGAGAGACTCGTATTCGGGATCCTGGAAGCACTTGATGAAGTCCTCAGAGGAGCCAAAGCAGCTGGAAGTAGGCACCAGGAGCCACAAGACCAGAATTCCTGGAGCAGAGAAAGGAATGGGGGCAGCCTCTCTGGGGCCCAGGCTTGATACCCAACCTACCCAGGGTGAGTTGGGCTGTGTGAGTGAGTGGGGATGGTAAGCTCAGCATCAGGCAGTATCTGTCAAACGCGTGGTTGTGAACACGTGCATTTGTGATTGTGTCTCTTTTGGGACAATTGTGTTGTGTGGGATATGAATGTATGTGTGAACAGTGCTGATGGTAGTTGTATGGTTGTGATTGTGGACAGCAAGTTCATGTGTGTGCACATGATTGGAAATTCATGAGTGTGTGCAGGTTCGTATTGGACTGTAAATGCGCCTGCTTCTGAAGGTGAGTGTGCGTGCATATGTGAGCCTGTCCGTGACATGTTGCTGTGATTGTGAGTTTGGTGTTGTGGCCCTGTATGACTGTGCATTGTCTGTAATTTGGTGTGAGGGGGTGTGTTTATGGGGCAGTGGGGTTACCTGAGTCAATGTGTGCATGACTCTACATGGGAAAATGAGGTGGGATGTAGTATGTGGTGTCAGCCTGGGTTTGGGCGAGCGAAGAGGCTGTGTGCATTTGTTTGAGTTTGAGAGAGTATGTGTTCTTGTGTTCAGTTCTGTGCGTGCATTTGAGTGTGAAGCTGGGTGGGGGTGCCTGAGGGCGTCTGTATTCTTTGGGAATATGTGCATTTGTGAGAGGATGAGAGAGAGAGAGACAGAGAGAGAGAGAGAGAGAGAGAGTGTGTGTGTGTGTGTAAGTGAGAATGCGCAAAGCACATTTCTCTTCAGGGAAAGGGGGTGAAGGAATTGCGACATTTCTAGTGTCCAGGGGGACTGTGGCAATCCTATTGCTCTTCTCCAGCCTCCCAGTATTTTCTCACAGCCCTCCAGGATGTGCAGGAAGTCCTGAGTGAATGGCCCTTTTCTCCACAACTAACTGCCCTGATGTACAGAGAAATTCACCGGAACCCCTGAAACAAGAGGCTCTGTGGCTTCCTCAGTGTTGCCAGTTCTAAAAGGGAAAAGCCAGGACCTGGAACACATTGTGCCTCTTGCACTGTCTCTAGGTTTTTTTGGTGGGTGAGAACCCCTTGGTCTAGTCTCTGTACAGGTGGGACAACCAAGACTCACAAAGAAAAGGGATCTTCAGGGATTGCCCCTGAGAAGAGGCTGGACACCCAGCCACTTCCTGGTGCAGGCTTTTCCCAAGGCCAAAGAGGGCCTTCTGCAGAGAGACTCCTCAGGAAAGAGCAGAGAGGTCACCAAGCTCCATGGGGAGAGCCCCAGCCTCACTCCTCTTCGCTTCCCCCGGCTCCCCACAACCTCCCTAATCTATTTTCCACCCCTAACAAATTTTACTATCTTCTGGAGCTACCGTCACTCCTATCTCAGACCCCATATCCTTCCTCATGAATGGGCCCAGCCTCTGACTCATTCTCCAGCCCTGTATCCATTCTCTTAACCAACTTTCAAAACCTGGACCTATGCATAGCCCCTGATGTAGCTCCTGTCACATCTCAGTCCCCCGCCTCCTTCCCCTTGTTTGGCCCTATACCCAGACTCCCCTTTGGACCCGTGTCTCTTTCCCTGTCCCATCCCCACCTCACAATCTAGCTCTTCTCCATATGTTAGTGATCAACACCTCCTTCCTCAGACCTAGAGAAGGAACTGCACTTACCCCTCATCTTGGCCATGGACCCGCAGCTCATGCTGGGCCCTGGGCGCCTCTCTATTTATGAGGAGCCAGCTCCACTGCAGCGGCATTCACTGGCTGCATGAGTCCAGCCTACCCCAAGGCCTGATTGGCTGCAGCAGAGAAAGGAGCTGTGCCCTCAAGGCCTGGGCTGTCAGGTGACTCAGTCCCCTGAGCAGCCTCATCTTCTGCATCCCCACCTTCCTCCTAGCCTGTCTCCCCTCCTAGAAAAATGACTTCTTCCAGCCCAGAGCCCAGCACCTGAGTGCCAATGTGGAAGAGGGCCCTCATTTTGTTTTCTCACAAAAGGAGTGTGGGAAGGGTCATAGAGGACCAAGTCCTTGCATCATTTGAAAATGCCTTCATTTTTAGCTGACTTTTTTATACTTAACTTTACCTTAAATTGTTATTGCTATTGACTTTTCAAAAAGATTTTATTTCTTTCTAGAGAGAGGGGAAGGGAACGAGAAAGAGAGAGAAACACCAATGTGTTGCCTCTCATACACCCCCAACTGGGGCCGTGGCCCACAACCCAGGTATGTTCCCTGACCAGGGATTGAACCAGCAACTTTTGGGTTCACAGATCAGTGCTCAATCCACTGAGTCCCACCAGCTGGAGCTTGTGGCCACTGCTTTGACCAAGTGTAGAATTCTACAGTTCAGAAATCATTTTCACTAGAATCCTGGAAGGCATGTTTTCAATTTTTTTTCCTTTTAATCCAGTGTTCCTGATGAAGTCTAATGTTAATTCTGTTTCTTATTCTTTTGCATGTAGTTTTTCATCTTCCCCACAGCTGGAAGCATATAAGGATTTTCTCTTTTTCATAGGATTTCTGAAATTACCTGAAGACATGTATGGAAGTCAATTTCCTGCCCCCCCCAGCCATCTAGTTGGTAGAGAGGAACCATGTGAGTCCAAAGACTTAAGACTTTACCAGCTCAGGGAATTATCCTTCTACTTTTATCAGTTATTTCTATTTTTTAAAAAATATTTTTTATTTAGTTTTAGAGAAAGGAGAAGTGAGGTTGAAAGAGAAGGAAAGAAACGTGGACGTGAAACAGAAACATCAATTAGTTGCTTCTTATACGCATCTCAACCCAGACTGAACCCAAACGCAAGCATGTGTCCTGACCCAGAATCGAAACAGCAACCTTTTGCTTTGCAAGATGACACCCAACCAACTGAGCCACACTGATTAGGGCAGTTATTTCTAGTTGTTCCTTAGAATTCCTAGTATGTTGAATTGGGATCTTTATCTTTTCATCATTTTTTCTTAGATTTTCCATTTCTTTATAATTCTAAATTTTGAAAATGATCTTTATATAAATTGTATCATACTGTGTGTATTCTGCAACTTCCTTTTCCTCAGCGGTATGTTTATGAGAGTCACCCATGTTTACACATGTGCTTCTAATGAACTCATTTATATTCATTTATAAAGAGTTTTATAAACATATAACGATTTATTTAACTCTTTCTTTTTAGTGGACATTCAATTCATTTTCAGATCTGCTCCATTGCAAACAATACTTCTATGGGTATTTTTGCATGTTTTCCCTGTATACACGAGTGAGATTTTCCAGGGAATATATCTGAAAATGGAATTGCTGGGCTATATGGCATTCCTTCTTCAACTTTATTAGACAATGCTGAGTTGTTCTCCAGAATAGTTGTGCCAGTTTAGATTCCTACTGGAAGACTGTTGTATCTGATTTCTTCACATCTGAGCCAATACTTGGTATTGTTGGTTTTTTAATTTTTGCAACTGACAGGGGCAAAATAATACTTATTTATTGTTTCATTTTGCATTTCCCTGACTATTAGGGAAGCTGAAATCTTTTTGTATATTTTATTATTTGGGTTTTTTGTTCTGTGACTTGCCTGTTTCTATTTTCTGTTTATATTTCTATTGGATTTTGTCTTTTTATTATTGACTTGTAGAAGTTCTTTGTACTGTACACTTTGGATATTTATTTTTTATTACAAACATTGCAAACACTTTCTCTAGCCTAAAGATTTGATTTACAGCTTTATTTATGGTGTTCATTTTTTCACACCTAGCCCCTTATTTACTGTTCCTATGATCATAAAGAGAGCTTTCCATATTATCTTCACTCATGCATTCAACAAATATTAGTGTAATATCTATTAAGCCCCAGGTGTTGTACTAGACCTGGGAGAATTCAAAGAAAACAACACGGATAAAAACCCTTGTTCCAGGAAGCATCAAGGATTCAGGTAATAAACAAATGAGTAAGTAAAGTACATGGCATGTTAGCTGATGATAGTTGCTATAGAGATAAAGAAAACAGTAATGAGGGAAGGCTTGAGAGTTCCAGGGATGGGGTGGTTGGTTTGGGAAAAGGATGAGTGGGATAGGCCTCCCTTAGAATGTGACATTATTAGCAAAGATGTGAAGGAGATGAGGAAGGGAGACATGTGCCAATGTGGGGGAAGGAGCTCACTGGTCAGAGAGAGCAGTGAATGCCGGGTCTTCGCTTCTCTGAGGAATGGGAGGGGCATGGCTAGAGCAGAGTAAGAGGGAGAGTAGTGGGAGCAGAGGTCTGGAGGTGAGGAGGGGCCACATCATGTAGGGCTTTGCAGGTTACTGTATTGCCTTCAGTTCTTGCTTTGAGGGAGAGGTAAACCCTTGAAGGGAGTTGGCAGAAGAGTGACATGATCTGAGTTATGCTCTAAAAGGACCACTCTGGCTGCCTAGTCTTGCACGGAGACTAAGGTGCCAAGGGGAAGGAAGGAAACAGGGGCCTGATCTGGAGTTCTCTGCAGAGATCCAGGTGACGGATGCAGAGCTGATGCTGTTGGTCCAGGGTGGTACTGGTAGAGGTTGTGAGCAGTGGCTTCTCGTTGTGTTTCACAGGCAGAGCTGACAGGATTTGCCGAAGGTTTGCCTGTGGAATGAGAGAAAACAAAAATTCCCCCCAAAATTCCAGCGTTTCTGACCTGAGCAGCTAAAGGATGCAGTTGATTGATGTAGGAAAGCGTTCAGGAGCAGGTTTTGGGGAGGAGAAGATCAGGAGCTAGGTTTCGTACACATTCAGTTGGAGATGTTGCCCAGACAAAACAGAAGCCTGGCAGCACGGTAGTTCTGGGCCAGTCAACTCAGAGATTCCACAGCATCATCAAAGCCCTGGGTGTTGTCCAGCTTCGAAGCTGCCCACCTCAGAATGCTGGTGATCACGTGGATCATTTGTGGTCACGTGATGAGTGAAGGAGTTCCGGGCACCATGTGCCAACCTGACAACATCTAGCAAAAATAGGGCTTTTCTTCCCCTCATGTGTCTCTTTTTACAAGTGAGGAAAACCTTTCCCAGAGGCCCCCAGCAACATTTTCCACAAGTCTGATTGTTCAGAATAGTGTCACACACCTGTTGAGACCAAGTGGTGGCAAGAAGAACACTCCATCTGCATGAAACCAATCAGGATTCACGCCTGGGGCTACTGAGGCGGTCACTTCCTTGAGCATATGACTGTGCTGAGATGAACTTGAACGGAATCAGAACTCCGTCAGTAAGGAAGAAATACAAGTGGTCATCCTTCCAGGGTGACTGGGCACTGGGGAAAAGGATGTAACCAGACTTTTCAGGTGCTACCGGACACTAGCTCCGAACTGACACTCATTTCTGGAGACTCAAAATGCCACTTGGTCCACCAGTCAGAATTGGAGCTGATGAAGGTTAGGGGATCAGTGGAGTTTTAGGTCAGGCCTGGTTCCCAGTAGGTGCAAGTGGGTCTCTGAGCCCCTCCTACGGTTATCTCCCCAGGTCTGGAATGCATGATTTACATAGACATAGTCAGGAGCTGGAAGAGTCCCCACACGGGACCCCTGACCTGTGAAGTGGTAGGATAGGCCAAGGAGAAGCCATTAGAACTGCCTTTAAATATAAAAATAGTCAATCCAAACCAATCACATTCATGGAGGGATTGCAGGTGAGTGCCACCTTGAGGACTGGAAGGATGCAGGGGGATCACCTGCTAGGCCTGTGCAGAAACAGGCGGATTTTGGAGAATGACAGTGGGTTATCATAGACTTAACAAGGCGGTGGCCAGCTGCAGCTGTGTTTTCAAATATGATTTCAGTACTTGAGCAAATGGACGCATTTTCTGGCACCTGGTGTCGATCTGGCAAATGCTCTTTTGTTTTTTCCCACAATATCTCTTAGGAAAGACACCAGAAATAGTTTGCACTCAGCTGTCAAAGCCAGTAATATACTTTGCATTATTCTACCTCTGGGGTATATCCACACTCCAGCCCAAGTCATGATTTAGCCCTGAGGGACCTTGATTGCCCTTGACTACCGCAAAATAGCACTCTGGCCCATTACCCATGACATTGTGCTGGTTGGACTCGACAAACAGGAGGAAGCCACTGTGCCAGGCATACTGGGAAGACATTTGCATGTCAGAGGATGGAAAATAACCAAGCATAAATCCAGGGAACTTCCACCTCAGTAAAGTCTCTAGGGACCCAGTGGTGTGGGGTGTGTCAAGATAGCCCTCATAAGGTGAAAGATAAGTTGTTGAATTTGGCCCTTCCTACCACGAAAAAAAGATTCACCATGCCCAGTGGGCCTTCTTGGATTTTGGAGGCAACATGTTCCTCATTTGGGTAAGCTGCTCTGGTGTGTTTACGGAGTGACCTTCTGAAAAAGTTCCTGTTTTGAGTGAAGCTGAGAACAAGAGAAAGATGGACAGTAGGTACAAGTTGCCGTGCAAGCTGCTCTGTCATTTGGGCCATAACCTGTCAGATCTGATGACACATGAAGTGGCAGCAGCAGACAGAGATATTGTTCGGAGTCTTTGACAGGCCCCCCTATAGGTGAATCACAGCATTTTGCTCATGGTTTTGGAGTAAAGCCTTGCTATCCACTGAGGGTAACTACTCTCCTTTGGAGAAACATCCTTTGGCTTTCTTTCTATTGGGCCTTAGTAGAGACTGAACGCTTACCCAGGAATCACAAAATAACCATGTGACCTGGACT